ATTAACTCTTCCAAAATTCATCAACACATATTTAACTCCTCATTTTTTCTAATTCCTGACTTATTTTCAAGATACAGAACACACTCACTGGCCTATGCACAACATTCTTCATTAAATTGTCCAGCAMCTTTATTTATCCACCTTACACTTCTCCTTTACCAAGGATGATTTAAGGTTCCATGGAGCAGATACCAGTCCAGAAATATTTTTACACTTCTGATGGATTTAGATTTTAACCACAGTGGGCTGTTTTACACTGKTTTAATTTCTTTCTAATGTACAGTACTGTAGTTATTCTGAGTCTGTAACAATCTCCATGCTATTTTAAGTACTGTGTCTTTTTAGCTGCTCATTTTATATACTTCTTCAGAGACAGTGAACAGATTGATGACTCCAAGCCCATTTGGCTGCTCCTTACAAGGATGCCTTTCCATTCCCCTGATAAGCTTGTTTTCCTCTAAACCCTTTAAAACAATTTTCAAATAGACCAGAACACAACATATTATTTAAGCTTCCGGCTCACAAAATATTCATACAGTTGAATCAAAACACGCTGGATGTTTAGTTTGTTCATTTTCTAAATATTTCTAATATTTGTTAATTATTGAGCATGACTGAGTTTCACAGAATGATCTATTTTGACCCTGAGATCTACTTCCAAAGTGATGATGGTTGACACACAATCCATCATGGCTTTTTCTGGAGTTAAGATTTTTCCCCCATGTCCATTGAATTGCACATCCCTTTCAACACTCAGCTTCTTATACTCTTCCTGCAATTCTTCACACATCCCTGGTCTTTGTCACCCTGAATAGTTTGATACAATTCGAAGGACTTGTCACTTTATTATTTGCTCCTCCTATAAAATTATCTGTTGAAAGAACCATATGTTAAAATAAGCACAGACATGAGAGTCTTCCAACAGAAATCAGAAGTGTTTGACAAAATTCTCACACTTTTGGAAGGCTGTGTGTGGCTGTGAGCACATGGATGGTGCATAAGCAACACACAGTACTGTAAACAGAGTTTTTCACAACCCTGATTACAATGCATTGATATGATAGAACCTGAACTGAATTACAACTATAAAGCAATCTGCATGCATTGCCTTGATGCTCATACCAGAAAAAAAGAAATCATCACCCACTTTTAATAGGCTGGCAACATTTTGACACTTCCTGACTAACTCTAGAACTCATTCAGGTCTAAAAAAATCCTGGATAAAACWAGGAAGATAAATACTTTTCTAGAAAAATAATATCACCCAAGCATTTCATAGATCTCTGTATATTAAAAAAATACTATTAAAGTAACCCATAGAAATTTTCAGCAATTGAAATTAAATAAAACTGTCTTTGAAAATGAACAATTGCACCATCTTGTTAGGATTTAATTATCTCTCTAAAGTGACTTTGTAGTATTATACAATATAAGAACTGTCTGATTCATGGTGCAGAGAATTCAGCTTGCAAATTGGAAACTAATGGGAATGAAAGAGGTGACAGAAATATCTCTTGCTTGGTCTCCTGGAGGGCTTACAGAGGTCACACAGAAGGGCTGAATCTGATGGAAGCACATTTATTTAGGCCAAAATTGCAGGGCTTAAGCCAAAATTGCAGAGCTCAAATAAGTCACCTGAATATATATACATATATTTAAATATAATGAGATTGTTTCCTTCAAAGAGTGAGCCTGTCTTAGAAACCTGTGACACTGATATACTCAGACACTAAAGATTGATTACACCATCTCGAACCTGATGTTTTATATCAAGCAGCAAACATGTAAAACTGTAAAGGTGCAAATCTTTTGATTTTCATTCACCATTTTCAGATAGAATTATCAAAACTTCTGTATTAGATGTTGTCATACATTATCACAGCCTTCTTTTCTTAATGAACTAAGGGGAAAAAAAAAGAAAAAAATCAAATTGAGGGTCACTTTTTTGAGTCAATGATTGTAACATGGACTCACAGAATCCTCATAAAATTAAACAGCTGTGATAAAGGAAGGAATATGAAGAGCTTATGATTTTTGTCAGTTTAAATTCAGACTAACAAAACTATGGCAAACAACATGAACCAGAGCTGAAGATACTGGGKTTTATGTCTGGGGCTGGGGGAGGTCAGAGAAATGTCCAGGACATCTTGATTTACAGTGTCCTCATTGTGAAGAGCATATKTATTTGTAAGCGCACACAAAACACCATCCTCAATACCAGTCACGGCTGAATACGGTTTGCCATTTACCTTCTCTCTCTGAAAATGAAATTGCAAGTTTATTTATCAAGCAGTAAATTGCATGGGAGGCAGCAGGAGCTCCCTGTGTGGCTTGATTCTGAACTCACCACAGGCATCAGTTTTCCCTACCAGGGGGTCTCTGTGTGCCGTGAGATTTTCCTGAAGTAAAAGCCCTGCTGACTGTGAGTAAAGCTMCTGCAGCCTGGGAAAAAGCCTCAATGAAATCTATCAAACAAACAGAGAGAAAATTACTTTCATCACAACCTCCTTCCCAGGGAGAGGCTGAGGACAGGGTGAGCAGCACCTGCAGAGAAGGATAATGGAATCTTGTGCTCCAGCACTGGGACTGGAAAGGAAGAAGGTGGAAAACAACCGTGCAAGCACTTGCTGTAAAGGCTCGGAGTGAACACACTGCCTTTTCATACAGTGCTTATTCATGTCCCACAAGGTAAAATGCTTTCTACTTATTTGTTTTCCTCATTCCCTTGGTGGGTTGGATTCAAAAGTAGGTTGCTTCAAATATTTACTCCTCTAAAATGTCAAACTGAGTGAAAATCACATCCATCACAAATGGTGAATCATTTTTCACATTAGACATTCAGGCCTGACTCATTTGCYTGCTGCAGGGATATCTTCTATTGCTGGAGTTCTTGTAGTGGGAAATAAGCATTCAGTGACAGAGCATGATTGACTGCGAGCTACATTTGAGTCTCTCTTGCAAGCCCAAATTAAATCAACATCCACACCTTTTTCACACAAGTTCATGTCTATATACAAACATAGGGTGGAAACATTTCTAGAGGAGAAAGCCTGAGCACACTTGCTGTCTTACTTGAGCCTTTTGTGGCCTGAAGCTGAATGTGCCCACGCATGCCAAAGTGCCAGCAGATATTTTAAACATACTCTGAACACTTGGGCCCAACAGTTAGGAACAAGGATGGAAGGTCACTGCACTTAATGTGCTTTTGAGACTGTCATGATCTTGCAGCTGGAAAAGCGCCTGGAACTATCCATTCTACTGACAGGGCTGCTTTGGCCTGAAGAATTTCACAGGCAAAGAGGAAAGCTGTGACTCACAGTGCTCATTGTTTAGGTCAGAGTTTGTCTGGACGAGATGAATCAGCTGGAAATCTTACTCATCAAATGCTTCCTATAATTAATTTCATAAARTTACATTTGTAGAGATTCATAATGCAAATAGTAAGATTGATACAATTGCAGAGTGAATGRAAGTTTGTAAGCACCAAAAGGGCAGAGTGAAATGTTCAAAGAATGCCCTTTAGTGACAAACAAAGGACACGTTTAGAGGATGTTCCTGAGTTGTGCATGTCAAGGCCACAGCACAGAGGATCAGCCAGCAGACCATGCACTCTCTCACCAGGAGGATAACATACAGGTTGTAGTGTATCACCCACACCATTATTTATCCTATTAACCCATCCTAAAAATAGGCTACAGACAGAGCCTATACATTGCAGACAAAATAAAATGAAACAAAAACTGTTGAACAGTACAAAATATTCCAGAATGGTGGTGGTTGGAAGGGAGCTCTGTCCAATCTCCCTGCTTGAGCAGTTTCACTTGGAACAAGTAGCACAGGACATTCAGATGAATTGTTAGTAAGTCCAGAGAAGGAGAAGGAGACTGCACAATGTCTCTGGCAGATCTGACCATAAACCAGCCTGTCTTTCTCATCAAGAAGAACCACAGAGATGGGACAAGGACTCAGCAGCTGCCATACCTTTTCCARTACTCAAATGATGCTCACAAGACCACATGAACTCACACATCTTGGAGCTTATGAGGGTAAGGGTGTGAGCATGAATAAATGAGATTTATGAAGGAGTGATTGTGAGTTGAAAAAAYTCAGATTATTTAGAGATTCTGAACATATACCTTAGCTTCCCATTCCCAAAACTCTCACATTAAATTTTGTTTCATGGAATACCCTAATCTATCAGTGTTACCAAACAAATCTTAGAAAAAAAGAGGAATTTTTCTGTGCTTCCATGACGCTATGCAAAGAGCAGAAAATCACTCTTTTTGTTTTCCCATTGAGTATATTTCTGYAGTCCACCTTAAAGATGAAAAGCAATTTTAGTGAAATATGAATGCTGACATCATTAGCTACATCATCTAGCTACATTAGCAACATCCAGCATTTAGCTACATAAAGCAGCATCCACTTGCATTTTGCAAATGCTTGGGTTTGACACATCTATTAAAACATGTATAAAAGTAAGTGGTGTTCCATGTTACACCTGTACAGTTCCAGGACAACTCCATTCGTGTGACTGACTGCACTACACTAAAAGTACATGGCTATTGTGCTCTCATCCATTGTTTGGAGTGGGTTTGGTTGTTTTTTAAGATATGTATACAAAACCTTAGAGAGAGCTCATTCTGTATAAAAGCTGAACAAAATGGCATCACTAGCTTGAGAGTGTGCAATGAAACAGCAATCTTCAGTGACTCTATGTAGTACTCCCATTTTAAAGGCCTTTTTATTGTTTAGTTCTTATAAGTAAGGTAGTACAACTCTTCCAAGTTCTACAGAAAAAAAATTTCCATCCACTATTTTTTTAAGATCTTGCAAAGCAAAACATAAATCAATCTTTATTTGTGCTAAATGCTAACAAAACATTCTCGTACATTACCCTGACATACCCTTACTTATGCTGGAAGGAAAATACTCCTTAAAAGAAAAAAAAAAAATTACTTTCAGAAACAAAAAGTATATCAAGAAAGTAATGACTTTACCTATTATCACGTGCATGCCAAGTCTTGCCAGATGCTTCACAGTTTGGTAACCAATTCCTTTAGTGCCTCCAGTCACTATAGCAACCTTTCCATTTTGTGTGGGGAAAACTATATGAGGAAAAAAGAAACAACACAAGGTTAGTTCACAATAGTAACGTGATTAAGAAGTGTTACTTATCCATTACTTGTACATTTTAGAGTGTGTACACTTAACAGACCACTCAAGCCAGCACAGTAAAGAATCTCAGAAGCAAACTCTTTATGGAAATAAAAACTATGGAGTATTCACCATTATTTACTGCACTATAATTTTCCAGTATTAACAGTTCACAAAAGACTGAGGTTGACGACATGAAAGGCAAACACTCACTTCAGAAATTTTCTCATTTCTATTTGCGTGCATTTCATCATCCTGCAGTCATCTGACCTTTAAAATTTCCACCATAACTTTATTGCTGTGCAAGGTAAGCAGCAGTTAGAAGTCAGCTCAGGGATGGCTTACTCTATATGCACAGGGAAAGAACTCCATGGCAGCATGATATCTTAAAAATTTCTTGCATGACAAAAGATTGGCCTCTGCCAGTAATATGGAGGAAACAAAAAACRTCTCAAAGGTGACACATCTAAAGGGCAGGAGCCAGCTGAGCTGATCTCCCTGCATAACTGAGCACTCTTCCTTCTGAAAATAACAGGTCCTGAGCCCCAAAGGAAGGAGGAAGAAATTTGCTTGCAAGAAAMCCCCCACCTGCCTTTCTCACCCACTGCAGCCCTCTCCCACAGAAGATCCCAGCATCCCCCATACCCTGTCAGCCTCACTGCTCCTCCTCTCCACCAAGCGCTCCTGGACCCACAGGCAGGCAGGATATGTTCCCAAACCCCCTCTGCTAGAGGGGTGCTTAGACACAGCCTCTGGCTCCTGTATCCCCAGGCAGCCTTTAACCCACAAAGTGAGCCAAGAAGTGTCTGCAGCGCCCTTGCAGAGCAGCTGCCATTCCAGCTACCAGCTCTCACATTGGGTACAGGTTGCCCAGCACATCCCTCCACCATTGAGGGAGTCCTGCAGCCAAAGGAAAGCAAAGGCTTTATMATTTAACTGCCTGGGAAAGGCATGAATTAGGTCTAACATCAATTACAATTTTTTTGACAAGATGGAATGTTTCATGTGAAGCACCACATGATCCTTAGATGACCAGGGGGAATTTTCAATTTGTTTTAGAGTAGAAGCCATGAGGTATTTGCACAGGGAAAATGGCATTGGATATTTTGTTTTGCTGTGGTGCAGTGTCTGTAGGCAACACTATAGATAACAAATGTTAAAAAGATGCCAACTTTCATCTATCAAAGGACTTTCTATTTTGATTTCTAGGTTTTTAGGGGATTACTTTGTTGTACAACACAAACTCATATATTATACAGTTATGAAACACAGGACTAGCACTGATACAAGCTTCTTTCTTCACAGCAGCTTCAAAAAGGACCCAGCTTTCACCTCTTCTGAAATATGTAGTCCTTTCTGTCATGATTCAACATAGATTTCAATTCTCTTCAGGTAACGACTTGATTCTTCCCATCCATGYAGTGGGTATTGTTTGCAGGTATTTGAAGGTTAACCTCAATTACAGTGATATCCATGCAGATAGTTGTCCTGACATATATAATTCAAGCTAAATAAAACTTCACCAGGAGCTTTCTAAAGGAGCTCTAATTTACCTATAAGCAGCCCCGCAATTTCCATCAAAAATACTTCTAACCACAAACTCTAAATAAAATGACCACAGGTCCAAATCTCAATAGAAAATGCATTATTTTGGGCCTGAGTACCTTCTCCTCCTCTTCTGCCTCCCCATGCCTGCCTTGCTTCCTGCCCTCTCACCATGTTTCTGACCTGATATTTGGATTTCATGTTGCATAAAGGTGCTGTCACTCACTCCCATTACCGCACCATTATACCTATCTATTGAATAAGGAGTGACATTTGAATGCAAAATTAATTCACTTAGAAGAAAATTAACAAAAGAAAAGGAGAAAAAGAAGTCAGGAGTGGGGAAGGGGCAATGACACGAAGGAAAAATGGGAAGTCAGAAGAGCAAAGTGATAATGGGTATCCCTGTGATGAAGTGGTTCTTAGCAGAGGACACAATTTAAGCAGATGACAGAAGATGTCCAGTCCTATCTATCCATGGTGACTGCAAAGAAAAGAACAWTTTTTTTATCCTAATGGCCACTTAAAGACTCCACTGTAAAAATGCATTCTGTGAGAGCCTTTATTAGAGAGGTTTAAAACAGGCCTGCTCGTAGCAGGTAGCTCCGATGACCTAAGAAAGCAGCCAGGGAGGGAGAAACAAGGCTGCAGACACACAGATAAGTGTCCATTATCTGCTTTATTTACAACAGGTACAATATCCAGCTTCCACGTAGTGTGGTTTTGAATAGACACAGCACTGCATGGCACATCTCAGTCTATCCACTCACTTCAGACAAAATGGGAAATGCAAAGAGAAAAACTGAAACACATCGGGGAGCGGAGTGGGACAGGAAGAAAATAAATTCCTCAATTTATTCTTAATTGTTATTAGTTAAAAATATGTGTATAGTTTCCATCAAGTCAGACAGCTTACTGTAAAATGAATCTCCATTTAAATGAGACACAGCTAGTATTTCTGTCAATAAAGGTGGCCAAGATCAAATAAGGGCTCTGTGTGTGAGCCAGTGGTAACTCCAGTGAAAGACAGTTTATTAGTGCCCCATTCCCCCTGGAACACCTATATGATGTGGAGTTTGCAGAGCACCCAACTRTCAGTGTTAAAACACCCATTCCAGGATGAAACTCAGCATGAAATTCTCAACGCTGACCTGGGCTCAGCCTGGTTTTCAGCAGATAGCAGTTTATTTTGTGAGAGAGGTTGAGCTGAGTGCGGTTGGAGGCTCACAGCCCCCCTGGCAGGAGGCAGAGGAGACTCATTGCCTTTGCAATGCTCACAGAGGCTTCCTCTGGCATTTCTTGCACCTCATTTAAACCATTCCAGTTCTCTCTGTGCCTCTGCTCCTGGTAAGGAGGTAGATAGTGATCTCAAGTACAGAGGTGTAACTCTCCGTGGGACATGAGAACAGTACAGCCCTGTGCTAATGAAATCCCCTGACCATTTTCCTTTGTGTTCAAAGAAACCAGCCTGGAGTCCTTGGGTGCTGCTTTATCACACCAATGTCTGAGAGAAACTGCTCTCAGGCTGCAGGTTCTGCCTGCATTCCAAAGTATTTGGATGATATAAACCTGTTTACTTCACAAGAAGATTACCCTAAACCAGAAAACTGAAGCAGATTTATTATGTCCAGATACGAGGCTATTTAAAAATAATTATTTTCCTTTCAAACATACTTCTCCTTAATCAGGAAAAACTTCCATGTACAGAGACATCCTCACACCAATTCAATACTATAAAGAATGTTAGGCAATTCTGTAATATTTAAAAATATTMMTTTTCAATGRACTCTAAAACAGGGCTGTCRGGATGTCTCTGGAACTGCCAAGRACACWCAGAAATAAGACAGKCTGCAGATCCATACCAATGACYAATTCCATATCAATGRCCAGTTTCTRCCAGCAAAATCTCAGCTCTGGRGGAGMAGTGAGGGTCACTGAAGTAGCCAAATCCAAACAGAGGTGTTGAACTTTCCTTTTTTTGCAGAAATGCACTATGTGAACACAAACAATGCAAACCTCAGAAGAAGAGCTTCCCATAAGAGTAGCTTGCTTTGGTATTCTGTAACCTTTATAGCACAGTGTGCTTAAGGTCAAGAGAATAAA